TTTTGCTTTCCAAACTCAGCGTATCATTATGGGAATGATTATTTTCATCACTTTCATTTGCTTCTACAAAAATATCTGTGCATAAATATCACATATTTGCAATACCATACGAGTACATGAGTCCGCATATAATAAAAATAATACTCATGGAGAAAATAACCAAATGCTTGAGGTTTTTTTTACATTTTTAGTGAAAAAAATGAATACATTACTTGTCAATGGTGTGTTACCATTACTTGCTTTTTATTATTGCATTTATTTATTTTTTGTTTGCTACATGGAGACAGCAACATTCCCCTCATTATAATCATAAATATCACGATAACCACATGATATGATTATAACGATTCCAGAATTTATCTCACAAAAGATTATTAACATTCAGATGCATTTCTAAAGCAATCAAATGAGAGGTTATAACAACAACAACATCAACAGTTATCATTAAGATGAGAACGGTAAAGTTATCGTTTTAATGTGTTTCCAGTAGGGTAGAAAAAAGTTTTTCTCTCACTCACTTACTCACTGTGAATATGAAACTGTCATAATAAACGTACCCATGAAATATTATCATGGTAATGTGGCAAAACTATAACTTTATCTAACGTTTAAATGTTGATATGAAAAAATCAAGTTGATTCACCTATAAATTATTATCACAATGAGTTGGTAACCCTAAAGGCTTAAAAGTGTAATAATATTAAAGAGTAGGGTGAATGAGATAAAAAGAATGGAAGAAAATTCAGACAATCATTTGAGGGTAGAAAATTATGAACATGAACTTTGTGAAAATTGAGGTGAAAACATGAAAGTAAATGTTGATAGTCAATTTTCAATCTGTAATCTAATCTGTTCCCTGAAAAAGTTCTGAGTTATCTCCAATCATGAACCATCTTTTTTGTCTGTTAACTTTTTCAATTCTGTGATAGTTTCTCAACATTTAACTCAATCAAACTAATTCGTTACTCTATTTGACCTACAATTCTGATTAATATACAAACACTTGGGATAATATGTATTAATAGAAAGCACGATTCTCAAAGATGAAGGATTTATTAATACTTTTAATAATTCAAAGACAATGAAAAATGTCAAAAGTGTCACCAAAAGTTTTCTATTTTTTTTATCTCGAACATTTAAACTTCATGTCAAACCATAATAACTTTTAACCTCAATCAGGTATTACTGTAATCATCAGTCTCTCCATCTCATCCTCCTCTTTTCCTCTTCCTCTTTTGATCCTCCTCATCCTAACGGTTATTCTGGTGATGGTGTTGACGATGAGTATGATGACGATAATGATGTTTGATAAAATTGAACATTGATATTGTCAATATACTTATTTTTTTCCTCCACAAACATAAACAAACATTATTATCAACTCACAATTCTCATGGTGGTTAAATTTGAGGTAAGGGGAGAGTGGAAATAACTTCATTCTTATTAAATTATTTACACAGGAATCATGGTGGATAATGTTTAAAACTATTACATGATATTAACCTTTGACAAGATGACAGTTTTTTTTTCACTCCAAAATTTCATTCACATGATGATAATAATATTATTCACTATTCGCTTTTCTGTTCGTTATTTTATCCCTTCCATCAGTTGAGGATAATTTTATCATCTGCCAATAATATTCTCATTGGAACATGATGAACAAAAGATTGAAATATTCAGAAATTGCTAATTATCGATAAATCTATTCGAAAATTTCTTATCCTTGTTTGGAATGATAAAAGAAAAACAAATGATAAGCTAAACTAATATTAGAATAAGTATTTAGATGAGATGATTTTTATTCTGTGAAATTTTATTTTCTCAATTCTCAATTCTGTCAGTTGAAGGAATGGAAAGAAAAAAAAAGTTCCAATGATAAATGAACTTGTCAACAAAGATATAAACAATTTATCATCAATATTCATCTGCGGATGAAAATAACTGGATAAACATGATAGACTGTATTAACTGTTAATTTAAAAAATGAATATAATCATCGTCAAGATATGAAAATTTAAGGAATCGAAATAATAATAAATGTAAACACTATCATTAGAATACGAGGGGAAAAAAGGATAACTATTGTGAATATTTATCTTCTAATGATAATTCAATTGGCACAACTTTTATCAAAACTCTTGGAGATATTACCGCTTGTAAAGCTTATCATATATATATTTGAGTTCTCAGAACTGACTAGGAAAAATGTCACAGAAATATTGGTATAATTTGGAAAGACAAATTTAAGGTTATGCTCCTTCATCGGAATCTTCATCAACCAGGGAATTAATTTGATGAAAAATGAATCTCAGATCATAGATTGATGACAATTTTATCATCATCATCATTATTATTATCGTTATTATATAATCTCAAGTATATTATTATCATCATTATATTATTTTATTATTGTTATTTATTTTCATTCGTTGCTCAATGATAATCATTGAAATGAGTTTTTGTCTTTAAAATGTTTCCTCTTATTGGATATAATAAGGAAATGAAGAGAAAACAAATCATGATGATTAAATTACAATCTCCCTGTATTATTATGTTCATCGTTATTATCATCATGATGCCACTGAATTGAAGCAATTACTAAACTTTTGAATGAATTTATATATACGTATATATTTTTATCTATAAATATGAATTTCGATTTTTATATTCAATTCTATTTTTTTCAATAAGAAAAATTTTGATTGTTAAGATGAGAAACTTTTTCCTCTTCCATGGTAATAATTTATTCACAATTTCAAAAGAAATCCTGTAATTCAGTTACTATTATTTCATTTTGAGACAAAAGTTGATGTGAATGTTTCGAGACAATATATTGGTTAATATTTGGTCGATTAATTTTCAATGGTTGTTGTTGTTGATCTGAACGATTCTGAAGGTTTGATTTAAGATGAAAAATATCATGATAATGATATAATATCTGAAATAATAGATCACTCATAGTATAAGATGATAATGTTTCAAGATGAATAGTTGAAGATGACAATAAGATTGAAATTGATGAAACAAAAGATTGTGAATCAATTCTAGTGAAGATGTTGGGAATATAAATGATGTGGTGTCTCTTTGATTGTCGTCTTAGGGATAAGAAATGAATGAACATCAATGATGAGTATTATCAGATATCATAAGTTTCATTAATAACAATAATCATCATCAATGTATCAGAATGAAATATTTTTAGATGAAAAGAGTTACTTGTGAGATGTTTAATATCATTTGTTTCCCTAAGGGGCAATGAACAATTCAAGAGTCAAGGTGGAAAGATGAACAACAAGAAGTTTCTATTGAAAGTATCTTGAAAACTGTTTCAAGATTAAGATGAAATGAAGAGTAAATATAACACAGTTCTAAGCAAGGGAATGGGAAGGATGCGGAAGAAAAGTACATCATCTCGATGGTGATAAGAAGCATCAGTCAAATCAACTATTCCTGGAGTAATTATAGCAGATCAGTTCTGCTCCTTTTGTAGAGAGAGAGAGAGAGAGCTATTAATCCATTTCCATGGAATATAATGTAAAATCTACTCAAGTCTCTAGGAAATTCTGAGCATATTCACTTATAAGTTTTCCATTGAGAGAATTCATCAGATTAGATCTGTTGACAATCACTATAAATGACGAATGAGCTTCACACTTCCTCTTCTTCTTGTCTCCATCTTCCCTCCTGTTAATCCCTTTGACCAGAAAACAACATCATGGGTTAACAAATTTACTTGAAAACTTGATGGCTCAAAGCTGAGCTTAATTTATTATCTACTCACTCAATGTCTCCCTCCTTCTCTTCCCATGTAAGATAAATTATCATCATTATCGTGGTGATTATAATGATAATGATGTTGTTGATGATGGGGATGATAATCTTTTACCATAGAAAATAATTTATTCACTTCTTGGGGGAAAAAAGAGTCAGCTTACCAATACCATAGTCTTTGATTGTAATGACCACTGGTCAATTTAATATCTTGAGTAATCTGCCACGCTCTTGGTCAATTCCTACAATTTCAGCTATTACTAACCACCATTGATCAATAATTAACTCTCCCAATTCATCAACACTCTCTCACAGAATTAACTACAACACTTACCATGTATATACTATTACTAACTGGTGTTAATGATTAAAGTTAATTGTTATAAATGCAATTGGAATAAACTTTCAGAAAATGAACAAAATTTATTCAGTAATCAAAATTTCTCGTTCATGACATTGGTCATTTATGAGTATAAAAAGCTAATTGTTTACTCACAGAATCCAATCCAATTTAATCAATGACAATAAACAAACCCAACGATCAGTTTAAATTGATTTCTCTGTGTAAATATTGAGATTAATCTTTACCCCCAAGCGATTATCAATATTAAAATGATGGATAATTAATTTTAAGTAACAATTTAATTTGTTTCTTTATTGCTATTTCCATCAGTTCACTTATCATTGACTGTATAATGGCTTGGAGGATATTGTTAATATCCTAAATTAACTGAGCATTTAATCATGGTTATATATCTTTCATGATTACCATGAAACCTATTACCTAATATTAGCAATCTTTTGTGTCAATAATGTGACTCATTTACCTGTAAACGTTTATCTTAACAATTGTTACAAGGTAAATATCATTTGTTGATGATAAACAAAACTGTTTGATATCATATAAATGATTATAATGCATCTCAAGGTGTATTAACCTTATTGCAACAATTTAAGCACTAAATGTTCACGGAAATTGAGTATTCTCATTACCATGATAAATATGGATCTACATTAATGATGATGAATATTAATATATATATAAGTTTATCATCAAGTTAACCGGAAATAATGATAATATCTTCATTTAGTTTCTACTTTTCTCCTTGTGAAATTCAACTCACTTATAATGTACTTGATTCATCGGGATTACCAGAACTTTTTCTTTATCTGATGAAAGTCTTTTAATTTGTTTTCCATCTCTCATTTTTTTATCTCTTATTTAGGTTATCTGACCGGAAGTGTCTATCATGATGCTACCTTGGCCATGAAAGGATTTCCCGGTGAAGGAATTTCAAATGGTTCAATGGTTATCGTTAAAACTCATGAACATGGTCCAAGTGGTAGACAATTTTTCACCAAAGCCATTTTTCTAGTTCGAAATCCTTTCAAAATTCTATTATCTGAATTTAATCGACGATCAGGTGGTCATCTTGGTCATGCTCCAGTTTCAAAATTTACTGACACAGGTAAGTAATAGCAGGCCTGATAAATTAAACCGAAATTATCATGGAAATTCAGGATAATAATAATAATCGTACAAGAGTAACAAAAGTAGATTGGAAACAAATGATAACCAACAAATGAAATATTATATTTAGTTTTCATCACATTACAATGAGAATCATATTCAACTCATAATGATGAATAAATTGATTGTTATTAAATATATTGAGAGAAACGGGAAAAAAGGTATAAAAATATATCCATAGGAGGAAATATTTATATTCAGAGAGAGAGAGAGAGAGATGGTAAAGTATTACTATCGTGTATTGAGTAACAGTTTCTCCCATGGTGAATGTTGGTCTCAATTAATCATCCACATGAGAAATATAAAATTGTATTTCCTTTGGAAAATTTTCTCCTGCTCTCATTGAATTAATATGAAAACTTACAGGGTAGATTTTCATAGATAATATTTGGATATATGATAAAGATAAATAGAAAGAAAAATATTATCATGTTTATGATACAACCAGAAGGAGTACAAAGAATCATTAGTCTCTCACTATTTGTGGTTAATGATACAGGGAATCAGAATTAAGGATGTGGGTGGTAAAAAAAAGCTCAAACACCAATGGTGAAGGTGATTATCTTTATCTCATTGAAATTTGATACAATCCATTGAATATACACACAGAGATACAATATTTTTCATTCTCAGCGATTTTCAATAACTTTGATGAACAGTTTTCTCTTTTAAAAACAAAATTTCAAACCCTCACATTGGTCAAGTAAATGATATTATCGATGGTCAATCGTTGAACAAAATTTATATGAAATATATAAAAATGAAAAGTTCCACTAATCGAAATGAAAAGTTTAAGGTATTAATCTGATACTTAAATGATTATTTGTAAGTATCAAGTTCATTGAATTGAATTGAAACTTCATGATAATGATAAATAATGACCGAAAATAATATTATTGTTACTAAATTATTAATGATAATATTGTTTACTTTTATTTGTTAGTTTTTATTTTCACATTTTAACTCGAACTGGTTTTGGTTAAATTTATAATTTAATGAACAGAGAAAGTGATTAGTTAATGAGTTGTAAGCTTTGCTCATTTGAATTAATTTATTATACTCATCAAGTTGATTATGTTTATTTACTCAAACAATTTACATTAATCAGTTGATTGGGAGTGTTCATCATGGTTTATATCATAATAATACTGTTCATCTATTATTTATTTGATGTTCAGTAGGTGATTGATTTTTTTTTCTGATATTAATTTGAACTTGGAAAATGTTTCCTTATATTTGTTTCTGTTTTTCTGGTTTTTCATTTGTTTTTTTTTCTGTTCCTGCTAACAGGCTGGAAAAACTATGTTCTGGAAAATGTTGACCATTGGTCATCATTTACTCTCGACTGGTTGAATTTCAAGGGTCCATTGTTAATATCTCGTTATGAAGACTTTTTAAATAATCTGAAAGGTGAATTGTCTCGAGTTCTAAGCTTTTTGGAGGTTAATTTTACCGATTCTGGCTTGGATTGTGTTGATAAACATCGAAACGGATGGCAAAGGCGACCTCAACACTACCTACCCTTTGACCCATTCTCAATGCCCTCAGGTAACTCATCATCATCATCATCATCATTGAGACAAGTTGTTGAAAGAAAACGGAAACAAGTTTATCAAGCATTGAATAATTTTCTCCGTCAAAGTGGACAGCTATCATCAATCTCTGAATTACCCTGAATACTGGTGATGTGGTGTAATAAATACTGAACATTGGTGACTTATGAAGAATCAAATAAAATCTTCTGATACCTGCAAGGTGAATAAAAATATCAACCATGAACTTGCAGTGGATCTTTAATCCATTTCAAGTGAACCATCATCATTATCATCATTAGAAAAAATCATTTCCGTTCATCAGGAATCATAAGCAGTTGAATCTTTAAAGTACAAAACTTGAAGATTGAATTGTAAGCAGAAAATTCAAGTGAAAATTTGATAAATTCTCAGGTGATTTGTATCCATTTTCAATTGACAGATGATGATGATCGAGGTAGAAAACGCTTGCGGGTGTAACATCGTAAACAGTTAAACTAAACAAGGTAATTTATTTTCATGGTAAATTGCTTCAATTTACGATGTCAATTATCCTGAACAGGGATATTATTCAGCAAGAGTTTATCTCTTAACCAAATGATTTAATATGAGAACCTCAATGAGCAAAGATTCCCAAATAAACTTTGATACATTGATTGATAATAATAATGTAAAAGTGTAACATGAATGTACAAGAGTCAATCCGAATCAATTTCATTGCTAAACAGAATTTACTTTGGAATTGAATATGATCACAAATTGTTGATGTAATCATCCACCTTGGAATTGGAGGAAAAGCAAAGGAAAGAAACTTTCACCAGAATTCCCATGATAACATTTCACATGGATCCAATTCAGTGGATTCATATTGATTGGAATACACAACCAGTTAAACCAATAATATCTAAAGTGTTTTCAGTTGACTTTTTGATTGTGATTCTTTCTTGTTATCATCCAGCTTATTAGTGAAGATAAATTAACTTTTGTTTTATAACAAAATATTATATAAGAAGAAAAGTAATCAAGACGTTTAGCATTTTAATATTGTAATAATAAAAGTTTTATCGCAAAGGAAAAACTGACGAAAATGAGAAACGGAAAAAGGAAATACAATCAATGCCTTAATGTATCAACCACTTATGCTCAACGTAAAACAATGAGACAATTTAATAAAGAAATCGTTATTATTATTGTTACATTATTTGTTATGGTGATTTAAATAAACAATTAGTTCGGTGATTAAAAATTTCATAATATGAAACTTGATTATGATGGGAAAACGAGGTGGAACCATAAGCTAATCATGATAGTCTCAAGTAAATTGATCAACTGAGATTCAATGAACTTTTTTTTACATGGTTATGAACTGTAATGGTAGTTATTAGATGGGTTTAAATGGTTGATTATGATACCAAATATTAATAACGAGTTAAATTATTATCATGATAATCATAAAGGTGAAATGCAAGATTAGTTTTATTCTGAGAGAAAATTATCCAAAACTAATCTAATGATGTGAACGTGAGATCAATTTCGGTGGGTATTCAGTTTCCATGTAATATTATTATTAAGGTAATATCAACGTTCAGCTATTCAACATGTATCATATTATGAACAAGGGTGATAATGAGAGTATAAAAAACAATAATATTATCTTGATAAGTGAGAGGAAAATAAAATAAAATCGTTTGCTGTGAGTACCATGAAATCACAATTATCATTAAAGGCTCATATCATGAGCTTTGTCCAATTCAACTGAACAATTCAATAGTTACTTTACTTATATAGAATTGATTTTTTTTTGTAATAATCATAATACAATATGAATGTACATGGTTTAATATCAATAAAACTGGGCTATCCATAAACTTAATGAACAAATGAATTACTCTTTGGGATAGTTTTTGTTCATCTCATATTTAGGATTAAGATTATAGCGATATAAGATTGAGATTAATGAGTTTTCACTGATCTCATGGATTTACAGCTATTGAACAAAAAAGTTCAAGATAGTCCATGAGCTGATAATCTTACTTGTATATTTATAGTGATACATTGTAATGATAATGATGATGACAATTTGAGATGAAACTTTGATTTATATATTAATATTTACTATCGCAACTATGAATATCAGTTCAGGTTATCAAATGTGAAAAGATTTTACTAGACTTAAATCAACAATTAACAATTTGTCTTACTATTCTTGTAAGAAAAGCATTTCCCATGTAATTATAATTTACTTAAATAAGATCGGAGTGTATGAAAATTGTTCTCTACTTCAATTTACTTATACACAGAAAGTATTCTCCTCCTCTAAATTAACTATCAGCTCATGAGACGAGATAATATCATGATAATTCAATGGATGATAAGTGAATGAATATCAATACTCAGTTTGGATAAAATCTATTTTGTTCATGTTGATTTAAGTAAATGTACATTTCTCCTAACAAATGAATCTGGTTTTTCAGAATAAATTCTTGAAATGGTAAAAGCATCATCATGTTAATACTAATGATAACAATTCCAGATCCCAAAGTCAAAGATTATTTATATAATAGTTTGAATCTATTAAATTAGATTCAAATCATTCAGATTCATCATCAAGATCATCATTATATTGTAGAAATTCAATAGTAAATTAAGTGAGCTATTACTCAATTTAAGTTATAAGTAAATGAAATTGCAATGATAAGAGCAAACTCTTTATATTATTTTCAGATGATTGTATTAATACTGACTTTTTCCCCTCGACATTTCGTTTCATGTGAATTGATGTACAGAAAAACCTTAAAACAGTTCTCGCATTATCTATGAATATATTAATAGATATTGAAAATATTAGATCTCAGTTTCTGATCAGAAATAAACCAGGCCAACAAAATTCATTAGTCTTCTCATTTTCTTTGAATTGATGAATTCCCATTATTTTTTCCTTCTTTTCCATGAGAATTGGGTGTTATCCATGTGTTATCATATGAACTTTTCATTAGGATTTAATTTTAAATTGTGAACCATTTTGGAACAAAATTACAATCAATTGACTCATTTGGTTGAAAAGAAAATTGATTGGACTGTATTTCTTTAGATAAATAAATACACCATGATGAACAATTTATTCACTTATTCATTTGATGACATAATAAGCAATTTAAACAATGGGTCAAAAATTAATCTACCCTTTTACTCCCATGGGTTTATCATCAAATAGTTGAATATACAGTTTGCTCCGAAAGATTAATGGCTGAGGATTTCAAGCTTTCATGGTTTAGAGAAGAAGAAAAAATTAACAAAATTAAATCGAATCATCTGTTTTTCGTTCATGATATTGAGTTTTTTCTCGTTAAAGAAGATCATGACCAACTAAACTTTTCACATCCAAATTGCGTAAGAACTCATCATCTGCTTCATCACATAAATCGTCTTCGGTATCCATATTATTGATACAGGAATTGATGGGTTTGGTTATATTTGATATATCCTTCATTGGGCTTTGGGTGACTTCAGATTTAGTCTTTAACACAGGTTTCGGTTTTTGTTTCTCTTTTTCATATTCTTTCAGATTAATTTCCATAGTTGCATATTGTTTGATTAAATATTCGACTCTTCTTTGAGCTTTCTGGTTGAGGAGAATTGGTTTATTACTGGCCAATTTGAAACCCGACTCAACAAATGCAGGTCTTTCTTTTTCATCATCATCATCATCACAGTCATTATCATCTATTTTATTGGAGGTTGGTGTTATCGACTCTAATGCATCTAAAGTTGATGCTTGCTTTTGGGTAGATTTAATTGATTCTGGTCTTGGTGATGACTTTGTTGTTAGATGATTTAACATTGGTTCACGTTGAACAAAATTGGGATAAGTGAGCTTAAGTTGTGGTTTTGGTGTTGTTTGCTTCAGAATCTGTAATTGTATCTCTTTCGGCGTTGATCTTGGCTTCAATGGTGGTATTGGTTGAGGTGTTAGTTGTCTTATTGGCTGTGCTATTGGCTGCGCTATTGGTTGTGCTATTGGTTGTTGAATGGGTTGTGGTATGGGTTGTGGTGTTGATTTTGATCTTGGTACTAATTGTATCCGTGGCTGTGGTTGGGGACTTTCATGATGTACCTCTTGTTGCCGTTGATTTTTAATATTATCTAAATTTATACGAAGAATATCATTAATAGAAGTAATTTCTTCTTCCATAGGTGTATCTTCTATCTGTCTTATTGTAACAGGTTTGACAGCAACAGGACTTTCTTCCATGGAACTGATTGAACTATTAGGTGAAACAATATTGTTCCTTGTTGACAAAGGTGTACCCGAGTCAGATAGCATCCTAGGCTTCTTAAATCCTTTATTGGGTGTATTACTATTCTCACTGAGGGAACGCCGAAGTAATCCTAAAAATGAGAATTAAATATCCAAAAGAAGAACAAAACATTAATCAGTTGTTAATGAAAGGCCAAGCTTTTCTTAGCTGGTGTGTTAACATTTCAAAATTGATGAAACATTGATATTGTTAAACCCAAATAACACTTACCTATGGATCTTCTAGGCTGATAAGATTGACAAGGTGGTGGTGTGTATAAATTTTCTGATTCATTATCATCTTTTTTTCTTTTTACACTAACAGATCCTCCAGGAGAAGGTGAAACGGTGTCTATTAAGGCCGCAATTTTGAATTTATTGAATTCCCAAAGGAATAATTTTCACACAAAAAAAGAGAGAAAAAAAAACGAAAACAAAAATCACACTGAACAAAGAAAAACACAAATTGAAACAAGGTATCAATCTAATAGATCAAAAGAAAACGGTGTCACTTTTGAAACTCACTCACAGTTAACTGGCAAATTGATTAATTAATTTTAAATAACATTGAATTAATTAAATTCTTTTAAAATGATAAATTGATTAAGAAAAATATTTCATGTTGTTGTCAGAGCGATGAAATTGAGGAGGCAAAAGAGAATTCAAATTCAACCAATCAGAGAGAAGTTTGAAAAAGAATAAAACTCAAGCGCCATCTGTTGTGTTCCAATGGAAATGAGAAGATTTTTGGAATTGATTGTTTATCTTTGGTAAGTCACCGCCTTAATTGAAATGGAAAAGGCGTTGCCGATCTTTTAATTGTAATTAAAGTGTAACAATTAAAAATTTTTTTCTTTAATTTAATTGATTCTTTGAATATCATATGATCGTCTTCATGTTATATTGTTTCATCATTCTTATGGTTTAGTTTAATTGTGAAAATTAGGCGATTCTCTTTTTCCTCTCACCTTGGTTTTCATTTTTTATTTGATTCTCTATTCTCTCTTTCCTTGTGATTCATTTCTAATTTGTTATTGTTTTTCTTTCTCTTGCTCTTATGTTGTTCTTATGATTTTTGATTATTGCTTTTTTGGTGAAATAGAATTGGATAATATTGATGATCACTGATCTTTCAGTTTATGCTTATAACTGGTTCCATCGGCTTTCCAGTATGCAGCAATTACCTCTCTTCCAACGGCAGACACTTTCACATACCCGATGGTTTTCATCATTGAAATTTAATTCTCGAACCAAACATTTACTACATTGTTGCCTTCTTTTCACCCTGATTATCATCTTCATCTTTCAGCTAATCTATTCAACCAATCAAGATGCTAAATCATTTGATCCAGTCGAAAAGTATGGATTACCTGGGACCACTTTTCTCTACTTATTACGTTTTCTCGCTCTTCTGGCTATCCCTCAATGTCTATGTAATTTCCTTGGTTTAACCATCTACAATACTTTTCCCAAGAAGGTTAAATTAAAAGGATCTCCACTTTAGCTCCATTCATCTGTTTTCGAACGGTAACTCGAGGAGATTATCCTGATCTTGTTAAATCAAATGTACAAGCCAATCTTGAGACCTGTTTAGCCGCTGGAGTGGAAAACTTTTTATTCGAAGTGGTCACTGATCGTCCACTTAAATTGGATAAGCAACAAAGGATAAGAGAGACTGTTGTTCCTCCTGAATATAAGACGAAAACCGGAGCACTTTATAAGGTAATTTATCTTGTTACGGTTTTGGATTCTCATTTTTCTCATTAAGATGAGTTGAAAAATCTCATTGTTTGAATTTCATTACTGAACAATTGTTTCATATCGTCTTGCAATTTCCTCTATTGTTAAACGTAATCTTATTGACTTTTGATTTTATTGCAATCTTCTAGGCTCGAGCTCTTCAATATTGTTTGGAAGATGATGTTAATTTTCTGACAGAAGAATCGTATATTGTTCACCTTGACGAGGAAACTTTACTCTCGGAAAATTCGGTTCGTGGAATACTCAACTTTGCAATGAGAGGGAAACACGAATTCGGTCAAGGATTGATCACCTATGCCAATGGATCGATCATCAATTGGTTCACTACGTTAGCAGATTCATTTAGAGTCGCTGAGGATATGGGAAAACTTAGATTCCAATTCTATATGTTTCACCGACCATTATTTAGCTGGAAAGGTAAACACATCTAATTGATTTTACTCTTAATTGCTCAACTTAATGGTTACAAAAATTGAGCATATGCACTTGTATTTACATTATTTCGTACGATCAGGATAGATTTTTATTAGTCCTTGATGATCATTATTTTTATTATTATTTCGATTGTTAGTCACAATTATCTCTAATATTTTATTTCTTTCATCTCTTTATCAGTATAATCAATGGTTAACTCGTTTATATGTAACGAGAGAGAACAATCAAACAATTGTTTTGAATGAATCATGAATTCCAAAGAAAGACAATTAATAATGATAATAATTTTCTATTTCTTCATATTTTCAGGTTCTTATGTTGTCAGTAAATACAAGGCAGAAAAGGAAGTTTCCTATGACCATGGATTAGATGGTTCTGTTGCTGAAGATTGTTATTTTTCCATGATCGCCTACAAAAAGGGTTATACATTTGACTTTATTGAGGGTGAGATGTGGGAGAAATCACCTTTCACGATAGCTGATTTTATCCAACAACGAAAACGATGGTTACAGGGGATCTTTTTGGTGGTTCATTCTCCCAAAATACCCTTTCAGAATAAACTTTTTCTCACTATGTCTCTGTACGCCTGGATGACCATACCTTTAAGTACATCTAACATTGTCCTTGCCTGGTTGTGTCCATTACCTACAGATGATTTTGTCCTTTTCAACACTCTAGTCGCTTTTGTAGGCGCAGTTAACGTTTACATGTACGTTTTTGGTGTCATCAAGTCTTTTTCTCTTATGAGATTAGGATACTCTAGATTTGTCTTCTGCTTAATTGGTGCCCTTTGTGCCATCCCATTCAATATAATCATTGAAAATATTGCTGTTATCTGGGGATTTTTTGGTAACAAGCATAAATTTTATATCGTTCAAAAGCAAGTCACCACTCTTCAAGTTTAATCAGCAGCATATCAAATTAAATCATTGTTAATATCATCTTTCTCTCTCGTCAAATGTTATCCTCAATTGTTGCAAAGCAATAGGTTGATTATACCTCGAACAATGTGCTGTTCATTATTAATCAATTATTGTTCCATTTAGATTATTTATAATGATAAATTAACAATTTAATCCAACTTTTCGTATCCATGATGGAATCATTGCCACAATTCATGATCAATCACCGAGAGACTTTGGAATATTTAATATTTAAAACAACTAAAGAGGCCATAATTTCAGTCGATATCCAACAACGAAGGAACATAAATCCATTGGTTTCCACTTCCAGATAGATGAATCATTTTACAAGAATCTCGGGATTTATTATAATAATTCAACTTGTCACATCAACTGGACTTAAATTAATTTCTATTATTCAATTTGCAAGATTTCGCCGAGCCAAGAAAAAGGTTAACAAGAGATACTCTAATTTCTGGCTCATCGAACTGTCAAAAAAAATCAGCAACTTAATCTTGAGGGAAATCAGAACTCCAAGAAAACTGTATCCATGTCTTTTTTACTCTACAATAAGTCAGCCCACACCCAAATAAACTTTATAAAATAATCCATGAATTCATTGAAATTCAATATCAATGAATCATAACAATTTTATCCAATAAGTGGTGTTACTTTTTCACAAGAAATTTAAGTTGATGGAAACGATGTCTAACTAAGCATCATGGAAAACAATCAGCGACATTGCAAATTATTTACCTTTGAATTATTTTTTTTTGTTCCTCTATGTAAATCCAATACCTTTTAACCCTTAATCGCCTGTAAAATTTACCCGATAAAACTTACGACGATCACAAATGCTTTTACTTGAGGAAGACAATCAAATCAGATTTAAAAAATTTCGCGAAATAAATTAAACTCCGCCATGGACTTTATGATGATTCAACTAATTGTATTAAATTTTCCATAAATAATTCATCTAATTAATCGTATTCACTAAGATGTTTTAAGAGAAACAACAATTAGTACATTTTGTTGTCAATTTGACCATCAAGATACTAGAAAAGAGCAATTTCGACTTAATTAGCTTAATTGGGAAAGGATAAAGTGGATCAATTAAAGACAATTGATACAATCCTTAATACCAAAAGGATTTGCAATTGTTTAACTCATTTTATCTCATCCTTATGACAATCATGATAATACTCATTTAATCTCGTAGATATTTTTAACTTGATTATATCAAATTAACATAACAATCAATGAGCATTGGTGATGATGAATATCAATATATTGATCTTATTGTCCATTGGATGTTAAATCATCCAATGTATTATCATCATTAAGATAGACAACAATCAACAGTGCGACCACTCTCATCATTGTTATTATTTTATCATCAATAAAATCATCATTATCATTGGTAAATCATGATGATGATCAAGGACAAAGTAATCAAAAGCTTTTCATAAGTTTTTTTCCCAATGTGTCCAGTGTGAAAAACCATTTTCATTCATTAACAATTTAACCAATGGTCCATTCAATTCAATTCAATGGGTCACTCATGGTAATTGTGACAATATAATACATGGACAAGTCTAATTGAGATTGGGAGCAAAATATAATTAGTTATCAGATTGACATTGAACAACAAGATAATTGATGATTAACACAAGATTATCTTTAAAAACAAGGGATTAGATAATAAAAAAACTGATTAACCCAATGTAAGGGAAAAATTAACAACAATGGACAATAAGTTTATCATTGAAATTGACCCTTATTGACCCAAATGACCAGAAAAATTTTCCATTGCCTTTAGTCAATACAACGATTTGTTTTGAATTGTTGGTTGAGTAATAAATCAGCTGTAAGGTAATAATAACAATGAAAGTTGATTAGTTTTTCCTGAGCTTATTGTTGCTCTTGATGTTATTGTTTTCTCATTATATTGGTGATCTAATCATGATCATCAAATGATGATAATCTTATATATATATATCTTTAATGATGATGATTATTTATGATAAATAATGACCATAGTTTTTTTACAAATTATTTTCATCTTTCATTTCTTATATCCAATTTTCATGGGGTCACGTTGATTTTCATGATAAACTCACAATTCAATAATTGTAAATAGTTTTTCAATGATGATTCCTGATAGAAATCATCATCTTTATCATCTTCCTAACGTGACTTGGCTTTAATGAGATATCAATCAGTTTCCATCATGGTCATGGCTCTTTAACCATGTTTATTTCCAGAGGAAAAAGAAGAAAATAAAGTAAATTGTTCAATTTTTGATTTCGTTTCTCAATTCGATGATTCAAAACGATCATTGTTCCTTTATTATTATTATTTGATCATCTTAATAAGATTCTCAATCATGTTCGCCATCTTCAGGGTATTTATTTATTCCCATTGTTTTATTACTTTTTGATACAAGAACTTGTAACTTTATTATTTTCACGAGAAACTCAGAACTTTATTTTCAGCATTAATAAGAGTAAAAAAGGATAAGATATTTATTCCAACAAGTTCTGAATGAATCTGATAAAAGACCTAATGATAAAGTCTATTAGGTCTCGAAGTTACAAAGAGAAATGAACTGAATTGAACTTAGGCGATTCCATGAGATGAAAATGAGATAAATCGTATTATCCAATAGACCAAAAGGAAAACTCCACCTTTTTGAGTAATAATAATTCTCAGTCTGTCAGAGCTTTTGTCCATTCAAACCTGGACATTTCTATTCTTTTTTTTTCTTCTTTTTAAACTTCCATTGGTCATTGGTCAGTTTTATTTGCTAAAAATTTTCAATTCAAATTCATCATGTCTACATTTAGGTGTATCTATTGTGTTCTGATCAACAATTAATCAATTCAAGGGAGTTGAAAAATCCCATGAATTCAAATCTTTACATGATATTGTTTAACTTTCTCTACTGAAAAAATTTCATCCAATCTATTTGTTGAATTAAAAGGTCAATCCAATGACTTTTGGATGATTTTCACTTAATTGTGATTGAGATTTGATATACAGGGTAAGCCAACTACTTTTTCTGTTCTCCTTTTACAATTTTGCAAAAATTTTCGAGTCTATCACTTCAAGATTGACTCAAGATACTCCAAGGTCAAGGTAACAGGTTAATTCAAAAAGATCAATATGACCTTCAAGCGCGTTATTTGCTGGTCTTGACCTTGAAATATTCGGTAAAACTTCCATAGATCAATTCCTGAAGCTATTGGCCCGACAATTTCTGAGAAACTGTATAAAGAAAATAAGAAAAAACTAAATGAGCTGAATTGCTTTTTAAAATCTTAAACCTTTGATTACAGACAAAGTGATCGAAGGTTAAACATTAAACTAAATTTAGATTGATTGATAATCAGTTTGCTGTTTTAATTGTGTAATCAGATATCCAGCTAATGTGTTAATAGTAAATTATCAATGGTTTAAAAGAAGATAATCAAAGGCAAAAGTCCAGTTTGATTAGGATGATGATGATTATGATGATTAGTATGACAAGGAAATTGTAAACCATTAAAAGGTATCATGATCATTGATTGTAATCAACGAAAAAGTAACAAATGTAATCACAGAGTAATCGCAGTTGCTTGATCACAATTTCAACGTTTGCGTGATTCAAACTACTGTTGATAACTTTTCACACTCAGTCAAAGACTCACACACACACAACCTGATTCAGTTTCCATCAACAGTTTAGTGAATCAACATCTAAGTCATCATAACAATTAAATCATCGTCATCATTTCAACCAACATCCAACATAAACTTTCATCAAATATAAATAATTGTAATTGAAAATCATCTTGGTTATCAAATCCAAAGAAAATTATGTTCCAATTTGATTGAACGGTGTTTTCAGTTCTTCTAATTGTTTACTTCTAATTGTGATTATTCATCTTCATCAACATAATCCCAATAAAAGTAAAGGTAAGTGTTAAAAATAATCCAAACTTAATCCAACAATTGAATTGACAGTTAATCCGTACTTTGAATTGCTTTCAAAAATGAACAAAGAGTGTGATTGTGATTTTAATTACTTTTAAATTGATTGAGAATTCAGTAATCTGATTGTCGTGAGTTTCAGTGTCATGATAATATTAATTATACATATCATGTTATTATTTCATGAATTGTAATATGAAATTATCTAAATTGATGAGAATAGAATTTAAATTAAATTTTGTAAATCAAATATTTGCTCACAATCATCATGATGAGTATTAACTAATTCCTTGAGCTTGATAATATTGCTGATTGAAGTGAATATTATTCAATGTTGATGACATTAGATATTAACATGGTAAAGGAAAAGGAAATGTGAAAATGTGCTTAATGTTTATTATTCAGAATCTGATTCAATAGAATGAGCAGGAAAAAAATAGTTGAGAATTATCAGAATCTTATCTTTCGTTACTTATTTTTTATTTCATCTTCCATGAAATTTTTGTATCTCTCATTCTGATTCCATTTCCATGGTTCTAATAGTACATATAAATATATATCTTTTAAGAACTGAATCCTTTTTCCTTCCCCTTTCAGTGTTTGATTCCCTGTGAATAATTTTGTAGATTCAGATTCTATCATGTTGTTGATGAGAATGATGATAAAATACGAAACACTGAATTATCTTCATTTTCCTCAGAATTTTTTTTCTCTCTTCTCTCTCCTGTTCTCCTGTTTTCTAATACTTTCTTACCTGAAACTTTCTTCTCCATGAAATTACATTGAATCATTTGGTTCATTGAATTGCCTGTAATTCAAGTGACAATATCTACTATAGTTAATAATATAATGATGATAGAGATAGAAATGATGATAATAGGAATTGAAATCTGAACTTTTTGACTCTGTTTCTTGTTTGCATGATTTAATTTGGAAGGTAAAACTTTTCAACTTTTTCCTGTTTTCACCTTCATCAGCATTCTTAGCATATGCAAGACTTAGAATCAGATTCATCGGATTCAAAGTCTCTCTCAAAAATATTCATCACGTATTATAATTATTACAAGTAAACTGAATGTCACGAAATCGGAAATACAGGGCTTTTCATTTATTTTTACCGATTTTTCTCATTTTCTCAGTGATGAGAGTCTCTGAGTCAAAAAGACTCAAAGCTCGAACCGTATGAGCTAGAGCGATACTGAAAGAGTCAAGGTCATTGAGGTTATTGGTGAGCTAACTTTTTCGAAGGTCATTTGCAAAAATAATCGAATCCATGTCTTTCATCTTAAACTATTGAGCATCGTCCAAACTCATATGGTTAAAATCTTGAGTCTCTGAGACTCACAGTCACTGAGAAATTGAAAAAAACACCGGAAAAAATTCTGAATAGCCCTGTAGAAAAAGTTTCAATCGAAAGACATATTTCTTATCCTCATATTTCCTGGGAAATGTTAGTATTTATGAATTTAATTCTGTCATTTACTGTAGAAATATCTTAGAATTTTCTGATCACTCTATGGAAACGGTGAATCTTTTCGAGTTTACTTGAAATATTATCTCAGTTCTATCACTAATTTCGTTATTCAATTTTCTGAATTCTATTGATTTTGTTAGCTCTTCTATCCTTCTACTTTCATAGTTCCAAATATTTATCTCCTTGCTTTTCACTCTCCTCATCTTTATCATGTTGTCGCTTCTTCTATTATCATGAAATTATGAATTTCTACTCAAGTATCTTCTATTCTGAAATAAACAGTTCTAACCACTTTGGATAATAAAGTGAGACTCTATCTCTCACCATAACTCTGATCATCTTAACATTGACAACAACAAGTGAATACTATCAAAACATTTCTCAAGAGTCTCATGAAAATGAACCTCCATTATGATCGTTATCATGATTATCGGCAATTATTATTTTCCATTATTATCTTATCTGAAATAATAATACATCGACTCTTGTGTTATATCTGATAATTAATAATTAGAACATTTTCTGCTCCATAGAAGAAGATGGAAGAAAAATATTCTGTATTCCTTATTATTCTTGAGATGAGAAACTATTACCATGGTTTAATATCATACTCATTAGAGGTTGAATGATATTCTCAAAGTTCCGAGTATAGAGAAGCTCAGGTAATAACAGATTACATGGATATACATTTGTTTTTCCTTCTTATTCATCAGTTTTTTTCTCTCTCTTCTTTTTATCTATTATAATGTTCCAATGTTTATATATCAACATTATATTTCTCTTTGGTTACTTCCTGGTTATTTCCGGTTACTTGAAACCGAAACTATTTCCATGGACAGTAAGATGAGATTGCTCCCTATTCCTGTTTCAATTCAATTCTCAATTTCCATTTACTATTTAACATCCTACTCCCAATCATCGCTTAATCTTTCATCATCCAGCAATCAGTTAATTGCTAAGAATAATATTAGTTATCATCATATTCTGAGTTCTGTAGTTTCTTGGTTATCTCTCTCTCTCTCTTGATATAAATGATTCGCTTGAATATTTTCCAGGGTAAAATTATTTCTCCCATGATAATATTTTCATCTCTCTCGCCTTGAAATTCATATTTGCGATTTCATCACTTAATGATTGCGATTCAATTTGATGATTATTCAGCTTGGCATGATGATAATTGAATCGTTTGTCAAGCTAATTATAAAAATAACTCAGGGAATTGGTTCTGACAATTATTAGTAAACTTAAATTGATGTGAATTAATTGATATCATGAAAACAATTTTTACATTAACAGTTTCCTGAATCTCAGCAAGCTTAGTATTAAATTGTACACTTGATTATGATGATTGATTTATTATCAATCATCTGATTATATTCCCATAATCAATGTAATCACTTGATTACAATTAATTTGTAAAACTGATCAGCTTTTCAATCAACTCATTTAATTGTAATTGCAAATGGTGAACTAAACCTTTGAATGATTAAAAAGCTTTTTTTTATTCAGTAAGATTTTAATTGTAACAAATTAACTTTATTATATCAATTATTTACTTTACCATTGTGATTAAGATGATAGTCTTTTGTTAAATTTGTTGTAAATCAGTAAAAGAAACTTTCTTAATTGTATTAATTTAATTCATTGGAAGCAATTAACTCTAATTGGATTACAAGAAAGTACGACGGTTAAAATGTTAAAATCTTTATTGAAAACTCTGAATTTTTGTACCTGATTGCTATTGATTCTGATTTCATGATAAACTTTCACGATACTTTTCAATTTATTGAGCATTTTTCTACTCAATAATAATGATACCTTGTTATTTTCAAGGTATTTTATCACTTGGTGATTTTCATGTTAACCAGAATCAATCATTTGTTAAATATTGGTTATAATATTTTTTGAACGATCATTGAAACCCCATGATGATCAGATTGAAAATGCTCATGAACTGAATTAGTTATCATGAAAATAGATGATAATCTGTATTTCGCCATCATCATCTTTATCTGCCCATCCAAATTTTAATGTTGATTATGATAATCCGATTGATTGAATTGCTTCAATGAACAAACTGAACAGTAACATGGTAGATTCATCATGTTATCATCATCTCTCTTCTCATTCCTTGTTGAGGTTTGGCAATTTACATGAAACGATAATTTAAGTGAATGAAGATAAAATCGGGATGATGATGATTATGAAGATAAAAGTTCTATGTATGAATATATTATCCTTCTTTTCCTATTGATGTCATCATGTTTTCATCGTCATGAAAAGGGGAAAGATCAGAAGACGGAAATGCCTCTGAGGTTTTGTATACATTAGATTTTAAATGAACATGAATTTTTCACAATGGGAATAACATTGGAATAAAATGTTCACAATTAACTTAATTGCTTGAGGGTTTAAGATGTTCAGCCAATGAGAGAAATAATGGAAAAAGTTGATTCTAATTAATCGATTGGTATGAGAAAAAAAGAGTTACAATTGTTCATGATACTGGAATCAAGTTTCTCACAAGAATTAATTATTTCCCTGTCAACAATTTACTGAATATCTAACATGTTGTAAGTTACATTGATGATTTTTGTCCGAATATCAATTGTTTACTTATTGTTGACAATCATTAGATGAACTTAATTAAACAACAATTAGTTAACTAAATATCAGAAACAGTGACAAATAAAATAAAACAAAACTTGAAACAATCAAACATGACAATTTGATTGTTGATCAGTTTGTTTATTCAAATTGTCATAGTGTTTTATTTATCCAAGTTAATTAATGTCGCAATTTGTTTGGTGATAATCAAAATAATTACAATCTAGTGTAAATGTTTATCTTTTTATATTGCTTGACCACTTTGCCTAACTGATAATGGATAACATTTTCATCATGGTTAACAGATTATTCAGATCAGCAAATTTCAATGATAATGAAGTAATAACAGTCTAATCAGAATGATATATTCAGATCGGTAGGATGATTACTATGAATTAGTATTTGATGAATTATATGTGTTCAAATGATTGATAACATTCAAAGTGATTAATGATTAACAGAAAGATGATAATTGTAATTGTTGTGATTAAAAAAAACTAGACTAAATTATTAACATGAATCACTAATCTAAAAGAAAGATTTGTAAATATGTTCATGATTAATCATGAATAGGTAGCAGAAAATAAACCGATCAAAGTGTTAATTGTAACAATTAAGGGTAGCATTTATAAAAAGGGAAATCAGCTGTGAGGGAGAGGTGAAAACGTAATTAGCTCAAGCAATTAGTTAATCAAACGATGAATTAGATTTACCATTTTTGTGACTCACTAAAATTCGTATCTAAATTAACCATTGAATATTTTTCTGCATCAAATTGATTCGATGATGTTGATGATGATGATGATCACCATGATCCTGTGGATCACCAATGGTTACTTAATATTCTGAACTTTTTTTCCTTCTTTCCCTGGATAATCATTAATTTCATCTGTTTTGTACACTA